TATATATATTATCTAAAGGCTTACATTATCAATATTCCATGCCAAGATACATTTGAGTTTGACTGAAATAAACAAGAAGTAAATATACTCAAAATTGATTTTCAACCGTCGATTGGCTTAAGTAAAAGTTGAAATTATATACTTAGTGGCCTCCGAGCAAGATTTGCTATTTAAATTCTGTAATTAGTTTGAGCTAATGGGCCAAAATATAGATACTAAATTTAAAGTTGGGAGAGTGCAAAACTTGAGCTGCATTTTAAGCAGGCTTAAATGCAGTACTTAATTAAGAGCAGGCAATTAAAACGACGCAGAAAGGGCTCGAAGTGAAAATGGGAAGTTGAGATGCACTTAGACGCATTACCTGCAACACTCATTAAGCCATCCATCCACTGCGCCCTCCACCTTTAACTGTAATCCTTCCCCCCCCCCCCTGCGCTGCTGTGAACGCAGCTAAATTCAATTAAATCATAATTTCAATTACATGCAGCTAAATTAACCACAGAAACCAAATGGTCATTACACCGTATTTGCCTACGGGCGAAACGGGCCACGAGCCTCACTATGCCACGCCCACGCCCATTGCAATTCATTAACACTTCAAAGTTTTTACAGCGAGAGTGAGAAAGAGAGAGAGAGAGAGAGAGCGTGAGATAGAGAGAGAGAAAATCCGCACAACAACACTTGAGGCGTTCGTTAATTTGTTAGATGAACAACAAGATGCCGACGAGCCAGATATCTAAGCCCATGGACGACTGCCACGCCCACATTCGCCCACTTTAGAGACCTGGTTTTGCCCGAGCCATTCGCGCTGTTTCCTACACAATTTTCAGCGCCAGCGGCCAAAGACAGACAATAAAAAATAAAAAAATAAGGCAGCAAAAAAAAGCGCGAGCCAAAGAGTAAGAGAAAGAGAAAGAGAGAGGGAGAGATGGAGCGCAAGGGCGTGTGCAAAAGAGACAGCTGCAAGCGGAAAGAACTATTGTTCCGGAAAAGTATTTCTGCTAGTTAGGAGTATCCGCCACAGACAGAGACAGACACAGAAAACGAGTGAGAGAGAGCGAGTGAATGGAGAGAGAAAAAGAAAAGTAAAAATGATTTCGCACAAACTTTTCTGTTAGTCAATCATTTTAATTAAGTAATTTTTTCGCCTACTTGTCGTAAAAGTTTTAATAGCAGCTGAGCCTGAACTGACCACAAGGGAAGCTGGGGTTTTTTTCTTTTTTTTTTTTTTTTGAAGTTGGGGCAACATATTGCCCGGCGGCTGAACCCGAACGGCGGCGGCTCGCATTTCAACACAAAGGACTCGCGGGCATAACTGCATTTGCGGTTAATTATAATGTTGAGTCTGATTACATTTTCTGAGAGTGAGCCGGAGCAGTAAGTTTGAGAAAGAGAAAGACAGAGAGCGAGAGCGAGAGAGGGGGCGCAGAGTTGTAGAGTTGAGCTTCTGCATCAGCGAGCCATTGCTAACTTTGGCGCTGTGTCGCAAAATTTCTCTCACTTAATTGCTGAGATTTCAACTCTGGCTGGCAGCACAGAGAACTGGGCTACTGGTTCCAGTTGTTGAGTTAGGGTATTCGAGAAGGGTCCCATAGAGTACTGTTAGGAAATGCTAAGAGCAATGTTATAGATATTTGAATAATGCCAAACTGTAATATGTAGTTTATAATATTTACTTATTAGTATGGTTTTTCCTTCTACAGTAAATCAAGATTCGTTTACTGAGATAATTATATTTTTATTAAGATAAGACTTACACAAGTTTGGTGTTGTCTATCAACCCTAGCAAAAAACGTATATATGATATATGATATGCGAATAAAGTTTCTTAGTATATAAGTACAGTAGAGTCCGGATATAACGACTCCGCTTATAGCGTCTGTACGGCTATGGCCGACGAAAATTCTGAACCCCAGACAAGCTCATATAAGCTAGCTTATACGGTTATAGCGTCTTTCGGTTATAACGACGATACCTCGAGCGCATATAATCTCATAATAAACCTCAACTTTAATTACAATTAACTATCATTAATCTGCACTTACTTCTCATATCAAAGCCTCCGTGCTCTACCCCTTTTAAAGGGCATTAAATAGTCGCTCATACTCTCTCTCTCAACTTTTCTGCTCTGCTTGCTCAGGCTCTGACTGCTGTTTAGCTTTTGTTGTTGTTGTTGTTGTTGTTGTTGCTTGACTGTTTAATGACCTCATCAAAAGCCAATATCAAAGTTGTGCCAAAACTTTTATAAGCAGCTCTTGTTGTTGCAGTTCATCATACAGTTGATGTTGTTGTTGTTGTTATTGTGTTGCACATTTAGCGGGCCGTGTAATTAATTAAGTTGTTTTGTTGTTTAGGCTGCAGGTAAAAAAAAAAAATACGAAACGTGTTAACTAAAATTTAAGGCTTAAGCAAAATCAATAAATAAACTTTGCTGCAGCTTACATAGCACATATATTTTTCAACTCTGTCTGCCGCACAAACACACATACACACTCACACACACATACAGACACTCGCATCGACTCTCATAGACAATCCATCCTTGAAACTAGCTAAGCGACAGGCAGCATCAGCTCGTCGACTGCTCTCATCTGCCGTTGCCTGCCTCACCTGACACTGAACAACTTTGACCCCAATGAAGTTGCAAGCCCCCAAGGCAAAGCTGTGTGGGCTGCCACGCTGCACACGCTGCTTGCATGCTAAAGCCGTGCCTGCGACTGCGACTGCGACTGAGACCGTGACTGTGACTGTGACTGGGGCTGTGGCTGTCACTGTGAACAGGCACACGCTTGATTTCCTCACTAAGCTCGCAAATGAAGCGTGCATACGCATCAAGGATGCGCCTCTCTAACGGCGACAAGGCCTGAGGACAGCAGCAGCCACATCGACAGCTGTGAAGGCAAAGAGAGAGAGAGAGATGGAGAGATAGAGAGACAGTGCGCCAGGAGATCAAACTGTGTTTAATCGCTAAAATTATGCAATCGAACTGCAAGCGCACAGTGGTGCGACATGCCTTACTACGAACAATATTCGAGTGACGTAAGAAAAATAGTAGGAGTAACGTAATTATTGAGAGGAAACTGCTGCTTACCTCACATACTATTATAGTGGACGATGTGCTGTTATAATCAATCGATTCGGACTAGCCTAATGGTTCATCATTCCTCTGTTGGCTGTCTTAGCTTGCTTTTCGAACTAATCATTTATTAATAATCAGTCAGGCAGTCATCTGATTGTCAACTCTATTTCTCTCTGTCTCACCATCTTACTCTCACACTTTCTCAGTCACTCTCTCTCTCTTGCTTTCCTTCTTTCTCTCTCTGCCTCTGTCTCTCTCTCTCTCACTCCTTCTCTGTCTCTATGTAATTTATTCTCTCTACTATCCCCAATTACAATTTTATCCCTGTGGCAATCATGGAGAAGGATCTCCTTACAATCTCTCTTTCTATCTTCTCTCCTTTTGTCTTCTCTACTCTTTATCAATTATTTTCTTTGTTTCTCTCTCTCTCCCTCTTTCACTCTGTTTATCTCTCTTTTATTCACTTTCTTTTGTATAGACTTTCTTTCTATCCCTATTTTTAGCTTCAGTGGCATCACTTTCAATCTCTCCTTCTCTTCTTGTCCAGCCCTCACACTCAAACAGTCCGTCAATAAATCAGTCTGTAAATCTGATTTTCGAAAAATTCCTTCCACAAATTAGCAATAGCATTGACATTCATATAGAATGCTCTAGTTGTATTTTGCAATCTTTCTGGAACTCAGTCACTCCCCCTTTCGCACTTTCCCTCTCTCTTCAGCGAACAGAGGCTAGACCCAATAAACATAGATATGTTACATGACTTATCATTGGCAGCCACCGATCAGTCGACCGATGTTATTAGAGCCTTGTCATCGGCGCCGGCTACGACTTTGGCTTGCGGCACAGCAAACGTGTGAAACTAATTAGCAGATATTAATTCTAGTTACGACGACGGAGACAGTAGGTAGATGCTATGGTCGACTATATATAGGCCACATAAACATCTAACGGCTCAGTTGTTTGACTTGTGTTTTGAAGTTGGAGTTAGAAATGGCATCCACTAGCTACGATAGCATTGAGAAGATCTGGTCGGGACCCAAAGACAAGGAGTACTATGGACCCGACATGACCCTGGGCGAGGTAGCTCTGCTCATACTCAAGCTGCATGCGGACACTGTGATGCAGGTCTTTGATCCGACCGGCGAGACTCTGACCGGAGCTCAGCTCTACGAGCAAAGTCGTCGCTTAGCTCACGCCTTTCAGCACTTAAATCTGCATCGGGGCGATGTGGTTGGCATTTCCGCCAAGAACACCACTTACCTCACAGAGGTGGTGATTGCAGCTCTACTAAGCGGCACGCCCATCAATCCTCTCCATCCGGATTTTGATAAGGGTGAGTGGAACTCAAACAAGGTTTACCTCTTCTTCACATTCATGCCTTACAGAAACAGTTGCCTATATGTACGAAATAACCAAGCCCAAGGTCATTTTCTGCGACGTAGATAACTACGAGACCTTGGCGGCGGTTAAGGAAAGCTTAAAATTCAAAACGGAGCTCATTTTACTCAGTGGCAAGCTGCCCGGAGTGCGTAATATAGAAGATCTGCTAAAGGATGGCGCCGAAGGCTACGATCCCAAGACGCTGTAGGTAGAGCCTCACCTTAAGTTAGAAGATTGTCTAGTATTTCCTTACAGCTTTGCCTGTCCACATCTCTGTGGCGATGACACGGCCTTCATCATCAGCTCCTCGGGTGTAACCGGTTTGCCAAAGGGCGTCACGCGCTCGCATCGCAGTCTGCTAAATAATACCAAAATGTGAGTAGAGGTTAAGGTCCCTCTCTGACTGCAGCTAACCCTTGTCTCTCTCTCTCTTCTCCTTGCGACATAATACATACATGAAATTTTAATAGGGAGTAAGCTACTTCTCTTTACCCCCTTACATCTCTCCCTTGATCCACTTCCCACTCAGTGGGCAGTAGGATCTGTCCATAGCTAACATCTCTACATCGCTCTCTCTTTCTCTCTCCCTGTCTCTCTCTTTCTTTAGCCCTCAACTGTTTACCGCGAAGACTGTGATATTCTGCATTAGTCCTTTGTACTGGGTCTCCTGCATTTTCACTCTGCTCGTCTCGCTGGTCAATGGCTGCAAGCGCGTAATAACGAACAAGCCCTTCAGCGTTGAATACTTTGCCGAGGTCGTGTCACGTCACCAGGTCACCTTCGTGATCACCGTGCCACACCACATGGCGCTTCTGGCTAAGAGCCCACGCACGGATCTGGTAGAGAAGCTGGCGTCGGTGCAATCGTTCGTCTGCAGTGGCTCCAAGCTTCCACTTACCATTTGGAACCGACTGTATGAACTACTCGGCAGTGACAGATTCTCGGTGCTCTATGGCCTGTCGGAGGTTGGCGGCGTTAGCAAGAATATTGGCGGCCCGGTGGGCTGCGAGGGCAAGCTCTTGCGTAACATCCAAGTGCGCATTTTGGATGAGAGGGGCAACGCTCTGGGTCCCAATCATACGGGCCACATTCACATCAAACTGAATCAGCGCTGGGGCGGCTACTACCACAATCCGCAGGACACCCAGACAACGGTTACCCCCGATGGCAAATGGTTGCTGACTGGCGACCATGGCTACTTCGATGACGAGGGCTGCCTGCACTTCCAGACCCGTGACACCGACGTCTTCAAGTACAATCACTTCCCTGTCTACCCCAAGCAAATCGAGGATATCATACAGCACCTGCCTGGGGTCCATGAGGTTGCCATCTTCGGTGTACCCGACGATGTGTCCACAAATCTGACTGCCTGCGCTGTGGTGCGAGAACAGAACGAAGACGGCCAAAAGCTAACTGCGGATCAGATCAAAGCAATTGTCGCAGAGCATCTGAGTGAGGCCTATCACCTAAAAGGCGGCGTTTACTTTGTGGACCAGCTGCCCAAGACGACGAACAACAAAATACAAAGACGTCGCATTCTAGAAGAGCTTAAGCAGAAATGTGGCATTACGGCCTTATAAAGAATACAATTGTCAATAAAGAATGAACTATAAAATAATGAAATTGTATATTTAAAGATAGTATTTCGAATTGGGTATTTAGGGGAGGGAAATTACTAAATAGCATTAGAGATCGGAGAGATCCCATGGTTAGCTAGTCACCTATGGAAACCCTGGGGGGGCTAATCACCCTTAGGAATTGAGTCGAAGAGATCGGTGTCTTCGACTCAAATCTAATGGAAGGACTTACTGAGAATTATGATACTTTTGAAAATTTCATTGACGCTATAAATTGCGGGATACCATAGGAAGATAGGGCAAAGGTCTTCAGGACTTTGTTAAACTCACCAAAATGGTTCGATACAACAAAGGATCATACAACAAGACACAACTTCCTGGTAAATGTCACAATATCCAGAGTATGATGTTCCTACGGATTTCATAGGAGTTCTACCAATCAATACAATGTCATAGAACGCATTTAAGTTCTTTGATCAAATAATGCGTAGACGTCTATTAGACATAGACTTTCTAGACTTGCTAAAGAGTTACCGCATGAGATGCATGCATGAGCGTGTACATATGAGATACATTTCATGCTTCCATGTTTAGAACGTCGGGTTCTGCGACTTCTCTGTTGAGCCAGTTAATTGCATTAATTGATGAGTCATGAGAAGTGTTTTGATGGAAACGTTTCCAACTGCTTCCTCAGTCGAGCACCTGTATTGGTATCAGCTCAAGCCTAAATCAGCATCTATTTAAACACACCTTTTAGTTGACAACAATAATGATTAAGACAAAAGTTGTGAAATCTGTCTGGAAACGTGGGGCATCAATTAGCACGTTGAGATATGTTTCCTATTTACGACTTGAAGCGTATATAAAAACAATACCGAGACGCAATAAATCACTTAGTTGTAGATTCAATCCACAGTCATCAAGATGGGCTCCTGTGAGGTCCACTACGATGCAGCGACTCGCACCTGGCTGGGGCCGCGAGGCAAGGAGTTCTATGGCCCCGAAATGACCCTCGGTGAGGTGACGATGCGTGTGCTCAATCTGAATGCGGATAAGATCCTACAGCACTGTGATATAACGAACGTGCAGCTAACGGGCAGACAGCTAGCACAACAGGGCCTGACCATCGAGAGGGCCTTCCGACAGATGGGCCTGCAAGTTGGAGACGTCATTGGCATTGCAGCCAATAATACGACTTATCTAACGGGCGTCACCATAGCCGCTATGCTGTGTGGTACGCCCATTAACCCACTGCATCCAGATTTTGATCAAGGTAAGATAATATCAATTGAAAAAATCCCTCGATAAGTCACTCAAGTTTTGCTTTCATAGAAACCGTCAAGTACATGTTTGACATCACAGAGCCGAAGCTAATCTTTTGCGATGTGGAGAACTATAAGATTATTAAAGCGGTCAATGAGAACTTGGCTAAGCCAGCTAAGATCTATCTGGTGAACGGTAAAATCGAGGGCGTGTCTGATGTGTGGGATCTTCTGAAGGAAGACGAGTCCATAGCGCCAGCTGCGTAAGTCTTGATACAACCTACAAACCTTCAAGGAAAGGTAGCTCAATGGTGTCTTCCTCTCATCCTTAGCTACGTGCCTTGCCCCACGCTGAATGGCGATCACACGGCCTTCATTGTCTGCTCCTCGGGCACGACAGGCATGCCGAAGGGCGTGACTCGCTCGCATCGCAGTCTCATTTGCAACTGCAAGAAGTTAGTGAAAAAGTATTTAAGCCCAACTGAAGACGAGTTCATTCACCTCTATTTTTCCCTCTGGCAGCCCCAATACCTACACCCGAGACACAGTCGTACTCTCGTTCAGCCCGCTCTACTGGATCTCCGGCACCTACATGCTGCTGGCCAATCTACTCAACGGCTGCAAGCGCATCATCACACATCGCCCATACACTGTGGAGTACCTGCTGGAGATTGTGCAAAGGCATCAGGTGACCTTCCTCTTCCTCGCCTCCCATCAGATAGCGCTGCTCTCCAAGTGCCAGATTGACGTGTCCAAGATCCGAGCGAAATTGGAGTCCGTTAAGGTATTGATTGGGGCTGGCTCCAAGGTGTGCAAGGCCGTCTCCCAGCGCATGTACGACCTGATTGGCAACATGCGCTTCGTGGTGGGCTACGGTCTCTCCGAGATGGGCGGCATCAGCAAAAACCTAGGCGGTCCTCTGGGCAGCGAGGGCAAGGTCATGCGCAACGTCGAGCTGCGCGTGCTGGACAAGCTGCGCATGCCGCTCGGCATCAATGAAGTGGGCATCATCTACGGCCACTTGCGCTACAAATGGGCGGGCTACTACCGCAACCCGGAGGCCACCAAGCGCGCGCTCAGTCCCGATGGCCAGTGGCTGAGAACGGGAGACATTGGCTATCTGGATAGCGAGGGCTATCTCTACATACTGACGCGCGACACCGATGTCTTCAAGTACAACAACTTTCAGATCTATCCGGAGCAGATCGAAGAGTTCATTCTGCGCCTGCCCGGCGTGAGCGAGGCCTGCGTCTTCGGCGTGCCCGACGAGGTCTCCACCAATCTGACAGCCTGCGCCGTGGTGCGCACCGACGACGAGGAGGGCAGGAAACTGACAGCGGATCAAGTGCGAAATATTGTTGAGCGATACCTAAGCTCGGCCTATCACATACGCGGCGGCATTTTCTTTGTCGATTCACTGCCCAAGACATCCAATGACAAGCTGCAGCGTCGCAAGGTGCCCCAAATGATCAAGAACTTGGGCATCGTTGCGGAATAGCATTATGTACTAGATATATGATATATGATATGAATATATATTTAGATTAGGTAAGGAGCTGAACTGCTCTATCTATTTGTCGGTTTACTCAATGCGAAGAACTGTTGAAAGGAACCTTAAGGGGTAAGGCCTGAATAACAGATCTGCATATGTGAGGATCGTCTGCTGAAAGACCTTTAGAGAGCGGAAACATTCTTGACAATTGTCATGCCTGGACAAAGATCTTTTGAGCTACGAAAGTATCGATTGCTTAGCACCTTATGAATAGATCTATTGTTGAATATCCGTCTCATTCAGAGGTAGAATATTTGCCTACAAGGAAGATCTTTTCTTATAGACTTGGACAGTTAAGTAGAACTGACTAAGAGTATATGGACTTGTGTATCACATAGCATATCATCACGATCAGTATTTAGAGTAGACTGTGATGACTTGACACGATCTGTATAGAAATTGCATGTCAATAATGAATCAATTCACATTCCATTTGCTTTTTACCACCCGCTGGCAAATTGCTTGCCATTAGCATAGACTTTGTCACACTGTGAGCGCAAACTAATGCCAGGGATTCAATGAATTTTAATAGAGATTGAAATTGTAAATGCAATGACCCCACGGCTCGAAACGTTTGACTAGCCTGCTTGCCTGTCTGGCCTGTGCTGACCTCGCCTGTCCAGGCCTGTCCTGTCCTGGCCTGCTCGGCTAACTGACTGACTGCAATTGCTACTGCTGCTGCTGCTGTTGGCCAACAACGATGCCAATGACAAGCAATTTGTTATTTGTGGCCCTCCTGTGGCCGGGCGGGGGAGGGCAGCGCCCACTATTGCCCACTGCAAGTGCGAAGGCAGAAAAAAAACACAACAAGAGTCGTAAAAGAAGCGTGTGCAGGCCAGCAAAATGAATTGAGAAATTAAAATTGCAATATGCAATACATATTTTATTGTATATATGGCATGCGACACGCCCTGTCGCACAGCCGTCCATTGAGGCTAACATTTGGACATTTGACAAATGCCAAATGCCAAATGAAATGCTGGCCAAAACACGATTCAATTTGCGTAGCTCCATGTCCTGGCCAACCGACTGGCGACAAGCACTAAAACTCAGTTAACTAAGCCCGGCCCAATCTGCTGCTGGCCCAGAAACCGAAAGCATTGTGCAACTAATGCGGATTATCCCCGGGGCTTTGCCAACTGCACCCGAAGGTGTAAATTTTCTCTGTCTGGGATTTGCATGGACAATGTGAATCGAACACATGAACACTAAGCCTCAGCTCGAGCAAAAGGAAGAATTTCAATAATTTTTAGCCCATTTAGACAATTTGACAACCGTCTCAGCATTTGCCTTTACCCACTCAGGGACTTGCTTAAAAACTATTCGAATATTTTCTTCAACTGCAAGCAAAAATTTTTACTTGGGTTAACTGAAGAAAAAAGAGAGTGAAATATGCTTGACTAGCAGTTATCCTGTACATAATAAAGGATATCATTTGAAGTTTATTTCTACTGTGAGAGAAGAAGAAGAAGACTTTACTGTATACCCAATGTTATCTAACTGTTAAAGATCTTGAATTTTGCTAGGGTTGCCCAAAATGTGAAATATTTAAGACTCACCTACAAACTCCTCCATAATCAACCAATCTACCTTCTCTCTACCTAAATCGTTTTGTCGTTTTAGCTAAACTCTAAAAAAGGCTAACCAAATGGCTTGTCTGTGGCTGCATTCGCTTCGGCCTGCTCTGGCAATATTTATTGAATTGAGGCCTGATTGCAAAATAAAAACCGATTTGCCGCAATAAAAACTGTTATGCCATTATTCAAATGCAATTTACCGTTGCAAGCCATACTACGTACATATATACATATACATATATAAGTAAAATGCTTGGCATTTTGCTTTTAAATTCAAAGTAATATTTTGAATGCCATGTCAAAGCACTTCGATTGAAATTCAACGAATTGCATTACTTTTCATGCCACAAAGTGAAGCTACTTTGCTTCTCCTCTCCACCCACCATCTCTTCTTCACTCACTCTATCTATCTCACAACTTTCTCTCTCTCTCTCCATTCCTGTGCAACAGTTTGACTGGCAAAATCAAAGCCAACATTTTTGTGACGTTTTTCTACTGTTTTTGCAAAATTCTTCGAATTTTATTTTGCCAAAGTGCAGAAGTAAACCTGGAAATGAAATTTAATTATTTATGCCGCAACACAGCAGGCGGAAAAGACACATCCTTTGTTGTAGCAAATACAGTAATGACACGCTAAAATAAATATTTATCAATTTGAATAAAGCTATTAAATTTGAATATCTGCGAGATGATATCAATTAATTATTTTAATATTTTTT